CCATGCAGTTCCTCCCCCTGCCTTGAAACACCCCACTATCTGTAAAGTCTCTCTCTCTCTCTCTTTTTTTTTTTTTTTTTAACTTAATCTAGCTAGAATATATTTCTGTTGGTTACAACTTAACTCATTTATGGATAGGATTTTTTTTTTTAGACGGAGCCTCACTCTGTCGCCCAGGCTGGAGTGCAGTGGTGTGATCTTGGGTCACTGCAACCTCTGCCTCCCGGGTTCAAGCAATTCTCCTGCCTCAGCCTCCTGAGTAGCTGGGACTACAGGCACACGCCACCACACCCAGCTAATTTTTTTATTTTTAGTAGAGACAGGGTTTCACCATGTTGGCCCGGATGGGTCTCCATCTCTTGACCTTATGATCCACCCACCTCAGCCTCCCAAAGTGCTATTCTCCTGCCTCAGCCTCCTGAGTAGCTGGGACTACAGGCACACGCCACCACACCCAGCTAAGAGTAGCTGGGACTACAGGCACACGCCACCACACCCAGCTAATTTTTGTATTTTTAGTAGAGACAGGGTTTCACCATGTTGGCCAGGATGGTCTCCATCTCTTGACCTTATGATCCACCCACCTCAGCCTCCCAAAGTTCTGGGATTACAAACATGAGCCACCGTGCCCAACCAGGATAGTATATTTTTATAGCACTTCCTCTACTGATTGCTGCCTTCTCTGTGGCTCCAAGGAACCCGTAGAGTTACAGGGAAGTTACAGGGAAGCAGGTTTCATCTCAATATTGGGAGAGATTTCAAACAGTCAGACCTGCCTAAGAAAGAGTGGGCTGTCACTAGGAAATTTTATTCCCAGTCAGTCAGGGATTTTGTAGAAGAGCTTCATGTGCTGGTACCAATCGGACAGGAAGATTTTAATCAGCTTTACTATCTATGTTTGTTTATGGAAATTGTGTGTATATATACATACATTTTCCAAAAAGAAAAATTAAATGATTATAGATATTATGTTTTTCAGACTATTCACATATCTGCTTTCCTTACTCCCCATCTCTGCTGATTATTCCTAGATCATTGGCTTTTCACCCACACTGAAATTACCTGGGGAGCTTTAAAAACCCTGTTGCCTGGGTCCCACCCTCAGAGATGATTGAACCAGCCTGGCCAGCATGGCAAAGCTCTGTCTCTGCCAAGATATGAGTGCAGCCTGGGCACTGGGAAATTTAAAAGCTCCCCAGAGAATTCTGTGCAGCCAAGGTTGAGACCTCCTGGTCTAGAGCTTTGTATACACAGTGTGGTCCACAAGCCAGGAGCATCTGCATCACTTGGCAGCCCCTTAGAGATTCAGACTCCAGACCCACTGAATCTGACCCTGCATTTTCACTAGATCCCAGGTGACCAGCTGCACTAGACTCAACCTCTAAACCATGACCTCCCACCCTCACAGTCTGTGATCCTTCAGTGACCCTCAGCTGAGTCCTGTGCTGAACTGTATGTGTTCTCGTTGAGCACAAGCCTGCTTACCAGGGACAGACTGGATGAGCAAGCAACCTGCTGGCTATGGAGAGGAGCCAGGCCGGGTAAATATTTGCCATGACTAAGCCAGGATCAGAGAACTGACTGTTTCTTGCACTGGCTGGCATTGAGCTTGCCACTCTGTGAACTATGCTTCCTTCCCCTGCATGGACCTGTGCCTCAGTCACTATTATCCGCAGGGCTCCTCCAACGGCAGCCCTCTCCTTGTTTATCCCCCTTCAGCCTGTGTGCAGGAAGGCACATTAACCCTGTGGCCCCCTGCAGGCAGGAGGGTGTCGGGTGCCCTTACCTACCTTGCCCTTTTTCTTGTACCGTAGGCTGTGCCATTTATGAGTACGTGTATGTGTGTCTGTGTGTGTGTCTAGAAGTGCTGTACTCACCTTGTATTATTGGAGGTTGTGTATCCCCCCAGCTTTGAGCCTGGTCTCAGATGTTCCTTTTCTGTTCTCTGTCCAGCCGTTACTGCCCCCAGTCTGTAATAAAAGCCTGTCAGCCGTGCATTTTATTGATGTTCAACCCGGCCTGGTCTCTCTCAACCCCCAACGCGGGGACTTGGGAAATTTAAGCGACTTTCCTGCCCCCTCACTTCTCCCCACCATGTAAGCAGTACGTCCAGCAGGGGGAGCCCTCCTCCCAGTGTCGGCCCCTTCCGGGCGGTGAAAGCCACTTCTAGCCGGCCTCCCCTGCCTCCCTCTTCATCCGCTTGGGTAGCGTCCCAGTGAAACTGTGGTCGATAACCCATAGCCTCTCCCGGTTCCCGCACATATTTGCGCTCTCGGTTCCTCCTCCTCCCCTGTTCTCATGAAAACTTGCAGCTGCCTCACTCTGCTTCCCTGGGCAGCCAGATCTCCCTTTGGCTTCTAGTACCTACCCCATATCTATCTGGTACCCCAGCTTAGAAACATAGGTAGACTTTACCTAGAAGATGGAGCCGGGGTCAGCATGCAAGGGGCAGAGGGGCTGTGGATACTCTAACCCAGAGGGGTAATGGTGATACTGGAGGAGCTGGCAGTACAGTGCCAGTATTATCTAGAGCCTTAGGTTGGTGGCCCAGGGCCCATCCTTATCTCCCACCTCAGGGAAACCGAAAATGGGCGGATGTGGGAGATGCCTGTAGTCTAGGGTCTTAAGGGACACTCAGCTTCAAAACTGGTTGGCTTTATCCAACTGCTTCCAGAGTTTGTCCAGTTCCCTCGAATGATGCTCACCTCCCAGGATCCTAAGACCCAGAGGTTGCTCCCTTCCCTCCCAAATTCCCCTTCCGCAGAAGATGTCTGTGCTTTTCTTTGTTCCGAGCTTCAGTTTCCTGTTCCCGTAGCAGATGAGAATCAAGAGTGGAAGGTGGCTGTGTGGGACAGTGGTCACATGTACAAGCCAGCTCTGGCTTCAGTGCCAGCTGTACCACTGCCAGTGCCTGGCCCCCGGGGTGAGTGATTTAACCTCTAAGCCTCAGCCAACTTGTCTGAAAAATGGGGATAATGACAGTATCTGTCTCAGGCGATGATAGGATTAAATGAACAAGTTCTTAGGGAGAACTTGTTCTAGGAGCCGCCTGCCGTAAGCACCCTCTAAATGTTAGCTATTAACAGCAGGGCTGCGGTGTGGGGAAAGTCTGAGCTCCTCTGTGGAGGTCTCATGGATTGAGTAGTTGGTGAGACCCTAGAAAGTTCTATGTAGTGGGAAGGGGTAGTGGAAAGAGGCCTTGGGAAAGGCAGCACCCCTGAGCCTGCCTTCCATCCCTCCAGCTCCTGGTCTCCCTTACTCATCATTTGAGGTCCGCCTGGCCTGGGTGAGGCACCTAACAAAGGCTCCCTTGTATAGGTCTGTTTGTTTCAGTAATAAATTCCCTGAGCAACAGCTCCTGGGGTGGGGTGGCCCAGCAGCCTGCCAGGAGCTGACCTGGAAGCTACAGGACCACATTGTTTAGTGGCCACCTTGGTCTCTCTCCCTGTATTTCTACCACGAGCTCCAGAGATTTGGCCAACGTTTTTTTAATTCCCAGCTCTTATGGCTTCAGAAAGAGCTGGACCTAACCTCATAAGATGACAGCTTTCTCTTCTTTCTTATTTATTTATTTATTTATTTTTATTTATTTATTTTTTGAGATAGAGTCTCACTCTGTCATCCAGGCAGGAGTGCAGTGACGCGATCTCGGCTCACTGCAAGCTCCACCTCCCAGGTTCACGCCATTCTCCTGCCTCAGCCTTCCCGAGTAGCTGGGACTACAGGTGCCCGCCACCACGCCTGGCTAATTTTTTTGTATTTTTGTAGAGACGGGGTTTCACTGTGTTAGCCAGGATAGTCTCCATCTCCTGAGCTCGTGATCCACCCACCTCGGCCTCCCAAAGTACTGGGATTACAGGCATGAGCCACCGTGCCCAGCATATTTATTTATTTTTGAGATGGAGTTTCGCTCTTGTTGCCCAGGCTGGAGTGCAATGGTGCGATCTCAGCTCACCGCAACCTCAGCCTCCCGGGTTCAAGCGATTCTCCTGCCTCAGCCTCCCAAGTAGCTGGGATTACAGGCATGCACCACTACGCTCGGCTAATTTTGTATTTTTAGTAGAGTATTTTTAGTAGAGATGGGATTTCTCCATGTTGGCCAGGCTGGTCTTGAACTCCCAACCTCAGGTGATCCACCCACCTCAGCCTCCCAAAGTGCTGGGATTACAGGCATGAGCCACCGCACCCGGCCTCTCTTTCTTATTTATTAAAATAAATTTTTTTTTTCTGGAGATAAGATCTAGTTCTGTCACCCAGGTTGTAGCGCAGTGCTACAATCATAGCTCACTGTAGTCTTGAACTCCTGGACTCAAGCAATCCTCCCACCTCAGCCTTCCAGGTAGATAGGACTACAGGCATGTGCCAGCACAGTCAGCTCCTTTTTGTTTGTCGGTTGGTTTCTTTTTTTAGACATGGGGTCTCACTATGTTGCCTAGGCTAGTCCAAACTCCTGGGCTTAAGCAATCCTCCCACCTCAGCCTCCCAAAGTGCTAGGATTACAGACCTGAGCCACCATACCCACCTTCTCCTTTTTCTTAAACCAAAGCTGTAGGGTATGGTGGAGTTCCTTATAAAGTAAGGGGGAAGGAAGCCAGTATTAAACTGAGTGCTTACTATGAGGCCTCTCATAGGCCACTTAATACTGACAGTCCCTATGTGATAGGTATTATTTCAGCCCCCTTTTACAGAAGAGGGAACCCAGGCTCAGAGTACAAGCAAATGTTCCCAAGGTCACCCAGCTACTAAGGGGTAGAGCCAGAGTTTGAATCTTAATCCCAAACCAAACCACTGACTCTTTGGGGTCAATCACCAAAGGTCTGCCCTACTCTCTTAGAGCACCTGATGGCCTCTCTGTTAACTGGAGAGAACCGACCATTGACGTGTAACTAGCTCCTTCTGCTCCCCCATCCCCATACTAAGGCTAGTTTGATGGTAAAAATTAGTACCCAGCTCCTATATTGTCACACCTGGCAACCCTTCCTGAAGCTTAAAAGGAACAGTTTGAGCACAAAGGTCCACTTTACTTACATGAAGGAAGATAAAGGCATGAGAAACAGTCATCTCAATAAATGCAAGACATGAGCATAAAAGAGGTTCTCTGCTTTTCCAGCATTGTTATTACAAAGAGAGAAACCTACAATTAGTTTGTTAAACAAAATTCAAGGCTCCAGGACTCATCTCTGGAGCTGATACGTCTTAAATACTATTACAGTAGGGGAAGGAGAGGAGAAAATTCCCCATCCACTCCCCCAATTTGGCCCATGTAGCTTCCCTTCGAGGGTGTGTGACTTGCCACCTGCACAAGTCATGGCCAAAACGGGAGCCAAAAGGCCAAACTACCATCAGTCTAGTCTTCTACAGCACCCTAACAGAGTGCCAGTGTCCTCTGCCCCCTCCACACTTGAGGGCAAAGTTCCAGGAAGTTTACTGCCGGTGTTAGGAGGTGAGCTCAAGTTCAGTGTCTCTGCCTCTGGCTCCACAGAAACCAGCCCCTATCACGTGGCTTCTGGAAAATGTGCCCTCCTCAGGATTGGTCCAGGGAGTAGTCACGGGTAGAGAACATAAAGGGAGGAGCAGTTCAAACTTGACCTTGACCCTGTGTCCAGTGATGAGGTGAAGTCTGTCTGGCTCACTCCATTCTCTGCCATGCCCACCTCTCTGCTGGCCCTGCCATTGCTTCAAGGAGGGCTGTTCCTCTTGGGTGAGAGTTTTCACCCTTGAACTAGAGTGCCTTTATATGTGGTCGGGGGGAGGGTGGGAGGACCCTGGGATCTCCCAGGCCTTACAAAAGTGGAGGCACATAAATACAAACCTAAAAACCAGCCATTTCCTGCCAGCAGGTATCAACTACCCCCACAGCTTCAGCTATGGCCAAAGAGGCCAGCGTGGCAAAGTCCTGTCTCAGATCTGGCTGATGGCAGGGAGCCAGGAGATGTTAGCACCCTCCTCAGCCCTTCACTTTGATGACCGTCCTTCCTCGTGATCATCAAAAAGGTTAGGGTTCTCTGCCAGCGTGGCTCTCACTTTCTTCTTCTCCTTGAAGCGTCCCGAGTTGGAGACCTTGACGTGCTTGCCCTTTGTACTCTTGTCCACGATCTTCTCCAGGCGGGTGTTAAAGTCGCTGTTGGGGCCTCCAGCGTCAGGCCTGGGGGGTTCTGCGCCTCCCTCTGTTTGGGCATAGGTGTCAGGGATCTCATACAGCACCTTGGGAGTGGATTTCTTTTTCCGGAGGAAAGTCAGCTTCCACCAACCAATTTCAGTCGTCATGGCGCTCCCTAAGCCGAGGGTAGGGCTTTCTGCTGGAGCAGGGTCGGGGAGACAAAGGTGTCAGTGGGAAAAGGGGGTGGGTGCCTTTGGACCAGCGTGCTGTAGACTCCTAATCATGGGCTGTTTTAAGAATTAAAGAAAGGGCTGGGCGCAGTTCCTCATACCTATAATCCCAGCACTTTGGGAGGCCAAGGCCGATGGATCACCTGAGGCCAGGAGTTCAAGACCAGTCTGGCCAATGTGGTGAAATCCCGTCTCTACTAAAAATTAGCTGGGCATGGTGGCACATGCCTGTAATCCCAGCTACTCAGGAGGCTGAGGCAGGAGAACCACTTGAACCTGGGAGGCAGAGGTTGCCATGAGCTGAGATCGCACCACTGCACTCCAGCCTGGGTGACAGAGCGAGACTTGTCTTAAAGAAAAAAGAAGAAGGAGAAGGAGAAGGAGAAGGAGAAGGAGAAGGAGAAGGAGAAGGAGAAGGAGAAGGAGAAGGAGAAGGAGAAGGAGAAGGAGAAGGATTATTAAAGAAAGAATTTAACGTAGGGCTGAATAAACCCAAGACTGAGAAGAAGAAGAAGAAGAAGAAGAAGAAGAAGAAGAAGAAGAAGAAGAAGAAGAAGAAGAAGAAGAAGAATAATTAAAGAAAGAATTTAACGTAGGGCTGAATAAACCCAAGACTGAGATCAGTAGGGGTGACACAATGCTTTTGGAGAGTGTGAGACAAGAAGAGGGTCAAAGTCAAGGTCAAGACAGGGAAGTCACCCGCCAGACAGAGAGGCAGTGGGATAGGCACACACCATTGCCCTGCATGGTTGTCGGGAGCTTTGAGATAATTTCTTCCAGGCCCCTCAGGGCCACAGGCAGGTGGACAGCTTGCCCGAGTCACACAGCATCCAGGCCTTTGATGCTTTTCCCGAACTTCCCACTACACCACCAGACCCTGCAGCCAGGCGTGGGCAGACCATTGACTGGTAGCATAGGGAGAGAAACGCCCTGTGCATTTTGCTTGGAATTCATTACAAAATTAAATATAATTAGTGACATTTCAAGCAATTTGAACTTCCCAATGGTGACCAGCAGGGCTAAAGTAGCTGCTGGGCTGTTCCTAAGGCAGGAGTCAGAGCCTCAGGCTGGGAGTGGGAAGTCCTGGGGGCTGTCCTAGCCTCATGACCTCTGGCAAGCTACCACCTCTCTGGGCCTCCGTCTCCTCACCCATCCCATCCAGCCCTGGTATTTAGCTCTACTGTTAATCCCTGCCCACAGAGGTACCCATGCATTGCAAAGTAAAACTTAGGATAATGGGAATAATTACTAAGGGATGGTTCCCTTTCCCCACCAAGCTTCCACGAGGACAGGAGTTGGAAGGGGAGCTAGAAAGGCAGAAAGCAATTAGAAGGATCCCAGAAGTACAGGGAGACATGGTCATCACGGGTTGTACCTTTCAGGGCGGGGCTTGGGGCTGAAATCCAGGCTTCTCCACTCACAGGCCATGTGCCCTGCCATGGAGCTGCCTTCCCTGGGGGCCTCACCTTTGACTAATTTCCACAAAGGTGCTGTCTGAGCTAGCAGAACTTCTGGGAGAGAAGGTTGCCTGGACATCATTGATAGCTGGGGTATGTAAGATAGAAGCAGATGACAGTCTGCTAGATGAAGGAAGATCAATGACAGAACAGGTAGAGGAACGGTGATGACTGGCGAGGTCAGTGGTCTGGTTCTCGGGACGCCTAGCTGCCAGCTGAAAGCTCCCAGGAAGGAAGGCGCAGCTGGTATACACCAGAAAGCTAGAGGGTATCACCTCCTTTTAAAAACTGGAGGGGTGTTCACTGCATTTTTATAGTGACTTTTTTTTTTTTGAGACAGAGTCTTGCTCTGTTGCCCAGGCTGGAGTAAAATAGCATGATCTTGGCTCACCGCAACCTCCGCCTCCCAGGTTCAAGCGATTCTCCTGCTTCAGCCTCCCAAGTAGCTGGGATTACAGGCACGCACCACCACGCCTGGTTAATTTTGTATTTTTAGTAGAGACGGGGTTTCTCCATGTTGGTCAGGCTGGTCTCAAACTCCTGACCTCAGGTGATCCGCCTACCTCAGTCTCCCAAAGTGCTGGGATTACAGGCGTGAGCCACCGTGCCCAGCCCAATAGTGCCTTTCTTTGTGTAGGAGTAGAGGATTTCTCTTCTCTAGTTTTCTGATTTCTGGAATTTCTGTAATTAGTATAGATTATTTAAGGGTTGGGGGTCATATCAAATTTAGGAAAGAGGAGAGCATGATGTGGGCCTAGGCTTTACAATGAGCTGAATACCTGCATCCATACCCCTCGTGCTCTGGTGTCCTGATCCTCCATGTCCCCACCCCCTCCCTCAGAGCACACAGCCGGTGGGTTCCTTCCAACACCTCTCTGTCTGGGAAGCAGCTCCCACATTGCCAGCTCTGTCCCTTTAGCTGGGCTCAAGTAGCAAGAGAAGCTGAGGGGAGATCTTGTGCAGCTCATGCTCAGAAAGTGAAGGAGCGGTGAGAGGGGCTTAATAAATACTTCCAGGCACCCTGGAGAGGTGAGCGCACCTAGGGACAGCCTGAGAGGTTTGCTTTGGCAGCTTGCCCCACCTGGGCTTAGCACAGCCTTGTACAGAACTTAGTGTTCCAGAATGGGTTTCTGGAAGGAGGTGGGGGAGAGCAGAGAAGGAGGAACAGGGCAGTTGCTTGGCCTGTGGATGCCCAAGTCACTGCCTTGTCTGGAATGAGGCCCATAGCCCCACCACTGCCCATTTGGGGCTACCAAGGAACTTGGGGGAATGGAAGAACAGAAGATCCAGCTCCTGAGACTGTCATAACCACCAGATTTTCTAGCTCCAGAGAGAAAAGGGCTTCTACCTGTGCCCGTTAAAATTCACCTGTTTTAACAGGAATTTCAAGTTGGCAAACCTGGGGCTTAACTCTCCTTGGCGTAAAGGGAGCCACAGATCACGAGGAACTTGTCAGCAAACTGTAGAGATGGGAACAGCCCTTGTGCCCTGCCCTGGGGCCTCCGTCAAAGCATCAGCTCTGATGCCCTTGCATTCTGGCCTTGTACTCTGGTCTCTCTAGAATACTCTGCCAGAGGCCAGGTGCAGTGGCTCAAACTATAATCCCAGCACTTTGGGAGGCTGAGGCAGGAGGATTGCTTAAGGCCAGGAGTTTAAGACTAGCCTGACCAACTTGGGGAAACCTCATCTCTACTAAAAATACAAAAACACAAAAAATTAGGCGGATGTTGTGTCGTGTGCCTGTAGTCCTAACTACTCGGTAGGCTGAGGCACGAGATTCCCTTGAACTCAGGAGGCAGAGGTTGCAGTGAGCTGAGATTATGCCACTGCATTCCAGCCTGGGTGACAGAGTGAGACTCTGTCTCAAAAAACAAACAACAAAAAAAGAGAATACTGTTTTTGCCAGGCCTTCCTGTCTGTTCTGCCCAGGAGGACATGTGGGCACCAGTAAGCAGGTGTTTGCCCCATTAGGCAAGCTGGACTTATGGAAATCTGAGTTTGCAAAACAGAAAAATTAGCAGACTATTCTTTGTTTTACAAAATAACCCAGCTGTAGGATCCTGTAAATAGTCATCATAAAAAATAGTGTAAAATCTGATTTGCTTTAAAAACAAGCAAACAAAAAAGGTGATGTGATATCCAAACTTCCCAGATTCTCAAAGTTGCAAAGAACAAGATACCTACAACCGCGTGCCCGTGCCTCATCACAGAGGGCTGAAAGGGGTTGGGGGAGTAGGGGCAGGTAGCTTGGGACTTCAAACAGACCCAGCATTTGGTGACACATGGTGGGCCCTGCAGTTCGCTCATGCAGGTTCCTGAGCTGGCCAAGCTAAGGGCTGGGCCCTTGCCCTGGGGCCTTGCAATCCAGGGATGATGGAAATCAGCCCCTGAGGATGCCAGCTTCACCTCTGCTGTTTGCACAGCTTTGGGGCCATGAAGGGCCTCATGGGACAGCCTGCCACCCCCGGTCTTTGGTGGCCAGTGCTATAGCATGCACATGGGTGTCCCAGGACAGGCCCCTCCATCCCAGCTGGGTTCAGTGAGCTGCTCTGAAGGGCTTTGCCCAGACTGAGCCAGACCCCTCCTGAGCTGGGTCAAGTTAACCATTGACTGGGGCAGAGGTGGAGGGGCAGGGGGACAGATAGGGGAAGCAAGTCAGCTAATATGTTGTAAGACAAAACCCAGAACTCCCTCCCCCATCCCTCTGCAGGGCCCCAATGGCACTTAGGGGGCCTGAAGGATGAGACGGGGGTACCCCGGATAGGAATGGGGAGATGTTCCTACCAGACAGCTGGAAAAATGCTCCAGACTGGGGGGTCAGAGGGGTGGGCTCCAGTTCAGCAAGAGTTAACAGAAAACTACTCAGCAGTTGCTCTCTTGGAGGCCTGGATTGACTCCAAGAGGCAGTGGGATGAGTCCTGAGTGGAGACCAGGTTAGAGGCCTGGGATCCTCTTTCCCGCTGGGCTGGTCAGCCATGGAGGCAGAACTGGGTGCCCTGACTGAAGTCTGTGCCTTGGTTTCCCCACCCACCACCCCTCTGCCTGTACCTGTAATCCTGACTGCTCCAGGCTGGAGGTGAGACCTTTCCTAGAGAAGCAGTTGAGTGTAGGAGCTGCCTGGGAGGGTGAGACTCGGGGAGGAAGGGTTGCCTCCAGGGTGCTGTATCAGGCAAGGCTCAGCCAGGAGAGGTGGGTAGGAGCAGCTGCACGTCAGGTGCAAGAGAAACAGGTGCAGGAGCTGGTACCTGCTCTGCTGCAGCTCCTGGAGTCAAGGTGAACCTGAAACCCAGCCCCTCCCGGCTAAGTAAACAGAAGCAGAGGCTGGCTCAGGCTGATGAATATTCATTATGCCAGAAATCCAATCCCAGCGCCCCTGCATCCACCCAGAAGCCAGGGTCCTCCAGGGACCGCCACGCAGGAGGAGGGAATCCCAAGGGAGATCTGGGGTCAGGGAGCACAGGAGGCTGTCTCTCAGTTTCCCCACTCTTGGGTGTCTGGTTGCACTCCCCAGCTATAGCCAAGGTCACCCCACCCATTTCATCTTCTGAGGAGGCTCAGACCCCTCTGCAGTATGGACCACCACCTGGATGTTGCCCAGGGCACAACCAGGAAAGAGTTAAGGGCTGCTGCTTCCATTGGCAGGCTGGGTAGGACGGGGTGCACCCCAGCTTCCTTTGAACTCCCTGAGTCGAAACCAGTCCCTGGTTAAACTGGTTGGCAGACCGGTTCCCAGGCTGTCCCTCCCCTGCCTGAAGCCACAAAGTGGGGACTGGGTTGGGGGCTGTGGCTTCCTCCTGACCTGAAGAGCCCCTCCTCAAAATCTTCCTAGGGAGAAAAAAACGGGCACCAGCCTCTCCTCGGGCCAGGCTCTCCAGACCCACCACAACTTCAAACACCGTCATTCCTCTCCCACTTTGCTTGGAGGTGGGCTTCAAGGCCCTTGAGATCTTATGCAGAATTCCATGTTTGTGGGCAGAGGGGCATTGCTTCTTCTGCATAGATTATACTTTTATCAGACTCTCAAAGAGACCTGTGACAGTCTCCCCATTAGCAAAGTGCCACTAACTTCAACTCCTCCCAGATGTCCAGCAGCCTATTGAAAGGCCTTCCTGGGTATTATGAAGTTGGCAAAAGCTGGAGCAAGTTCTCAAGGAAAGGAGAGATGGGTCCCTAGTGAGGCTGGAAGAGAAGGAAAGGCAAGAAGGCAGGGGATGGGCACACGGTTGGGGACAAGGGTAGAGTGTGTGCGCAAGGGGCCATTGTCCTCACTGATCTGCAGTCTCACTCCCCCTGCAAACCCACCATTGGCCAAGCCTGTGTGCAGCCCTCAGCCGGGGCTGCTCTTGCAGATGGCTCCGTGCTTGGGGAGCGTTGTTTTGCAGCCACCCGGAGGTGGCCTGTCCTGTTTGCGCTGGCATTCTCTCCCCTCGGATGGGCATCTCTGGAGAGTGGAAAACGTCTGCTGCATACTCAGTGTCTCTGCCACTTCCTGGGCCCAGTGCTACCAGCTTAGGTGCCCAATTCACCCTCCAGCTACCTTCCTCCATGTACCAGAGGTGTGCATGTCAGGCAGAGTGAGGCACGGGTAGAGAAAAAGCATAAAATCCCCCTTTCCCTGGCTCTCCCTCTAAGTTACATTTGAAATCTCAGCTTACCAACTCTTAAAGCTGTCCCCCATCTCCAATCCTGCTTCTACTCACTCCAGCTTCTGATGGCCTCTTGGGTTTGTATTCTCCTCCATCTGAAATAGCCCCCTTTCCCTTAAAGAGTCCTTGGGTGGACAGTCCTCCAAAGCCTCCCCACAGCCCACAGCAGAACCCGCTTGGCCTGGCTCTCCTAGGACGGGGCCTCTGCAGCCTCCTTTCATGCCCACCCACCCCTGCCAACCCTCCCCGAACACTAGCCCCTTCTCTGCCAGCCTTTGTAGGCACGAGGCTGCCTTAGAAGGGTGAGATTAGGAGTGCTGGCTGTGCTCTTGGGTGACAATGTCTTCCCATCACCTTGTGCGACCCAAGATAAACTCCTATTCATCCCTCAAAACCTGAATTAATGATCACACCTCCCACCCCACCAGGAGTTTTCTTGTTTCCCCTTCTGTGTTCCTGTAGAACCTGCTCATATACTTCTATTTAACACGATATATATACCATGATTGATTTCCACTTATAGACTTTTAGCTCTTAGATTCCAGAATTATGTATCACTGATCCAAACCTGACATATAGTAGGTACTTATGCAAGCTTGAAAACACAAATGAGAAACAGAAACATTGTTTTAACCCAAAGAAACTGGTAATGTAGCCCCTTGCTTTGTCCCATGCTCCATGGGGCAGGTAAACGTGCAGGAAAACCCATTTATTTGCCTTCTTGTGGTTCCAGCTACAGCTGACTTGCTGTCATCCTATCATCTCCCTGGAGGTTGATTGGAATTGAAGGATATAATTTTGCAAGGTCCCCTGCCTCTAGTGCAAAGTACACACAGCTGTCCCAGAAAGGTGCCCACAGCTTCCTAGATCTGTCACTCTCTATAAAAGCCTGGTCCATTCAGAGTGGATATCTGGTTCAGAAGACAAAAACTCCTTCCAGCTCAGGTGTTGGGAAGAGACCAGAAGGTTAGTGGGATGGACTTTGGTCTGGGAGACAGTAACTCAGAGTCAGGTCCCCGCTCCCCATCCATAGAGGAAAGGACTTGCCCTGGAGGCACTCATTCCCCGTGCCTCTCTGATGTCTGAACCCAGGGGAGCAGATTCTTGTTCTCTTAACCCCACACTGAAGAAGGAGCCCCCATAAGTGCCATGGCAGGCCCACCTGTGGCTCTCCCTTCCCAAGCACCACCAGGACCAGGTGCAGGTATGAGGCCCTAGCGCATTACCAGGGAGGGGCCAGCCTGGGGCGCAACCTCTGGCCTTAAGGGCATTTATTTCTGGGAGGAGCAGGACTGGGAGGAGAGTTTGAGATAAGACTGTGAGCTACAAATATAACTCCTCACGTACAGACCACTTTATTGCTTTATAAAAATTTTCACCTTTGGCCAGGCACAGTGGCTCATGCCTGTAATCCCAGCACTTTGGGAGACTGAGGAAGGTGGATCACCTGAGGTTGGAAGTTCGAGACCAACCTGACCAACATGGAGAAACCCCGTCTCTACTAAAAATACAAAATTAGCCAGGCATGGTGGCGCATGCCTGTAATCCCAGCTACTCGGGAGGCTGAGGCAGGAGAATCGCTTCAACCTGGAAGGTGAGGCTGAGATTGCGCCATTGCACTCTAGCCTGGGTAACAAGAGTGAAACTCTGTCTCAAAAAAAAGAAAAAAAAAAATTCACTTCTAAGCATGCCTTCCTGAAACTAGGTTTAAGTGTAACATGCCATATACATGCAGTGTGCACGTTTTCAGAAATGTGTTCTCGTTGAGTAAAGCAAGTTAAATTCACCTAAGGGAGCCCCAAAGACCTTGGTGCCCTTTTGGGGTGCACAGCCATGGGGCCCCATTGAATTACAAATCCAATCAGCCTGGCATATCCATCCCATTTTACTGACCTCTGCCCAGCAAGTAGATCTAGGCTTCAGGGATATTTCTTCCCCAAAACAGGGAGGAGAGAGGTGCTGCCATTATCCTCAGTGCTCCCCCTTCTCTGGAAGGCCAGGAGATTGGAGATCCTGGGGGTGTCCAGCCTGGTCGAGGTGACAAGTGGGGCAAAACCAAAGATCAGTCTCTGGCGGGCTATACCAGGTGCCGTAGGGAGGCGGGGCAGGCAGAAGCTGCATTCTGATCTGAGGTGGGTGTTGGGGCTGCCATTGGAGGGGGCTCTCCCTTGTTTTCATGCGAGGCGTTCCCTTCAAGGAGATCTCAGCAGGGAGTCGGGGTATGAGCAGCCAATATTAGGGGTACTGTGTTCCAGGCACTCTTCCAAATGTTCCATAGGTGTGAACTTTTGATCCCCACAGCCGCCCCTTAAGGTGGATTCTCTAACCCAGTACACCCATTTGCACCCCCTCAGCAATTTTCCTGTTAATGTTTGCATTTGTTTCCTGTAGCTACCATGAGTTACCATGAACTCTATGGCTTGAAACAACAGAAATGGATTCTTCTGACCTATCCAGTAAGGCAGAAGTCAGAAATGAGTTTAACTGGTCAAGACCAAGCGGTTGCCAGTGCTGTGATCCCTCTGGAGGCTCCAGGGAGAACCTGTCCTTGATTGCTCCAAGCTCCTGGTGACTGCAGGCACTCCTGGGCTTGTGGCCACATCACTCCAATCTCTGCCTCCTTTGTTTTCACTTCTGTGGGTTTGGCTAAACTCCCTCCACCTCTCTCTTATAAGGATACTTGGGATGGCATTTAGGGTCCACCCTGATGATCCAGGATTCTCTCATCTTAAGACGTTTAACATAATCACGTGTGTAAAGAGTCTTTTTCCAAATAAGGTCACACTCATAGCTTCTGGAGATTTGACATGGTTATCTTTGCAGGGATCATTTTTCAGCCTTCCACATTCTTCATTCAGATCACCTCTCTGTATTGTCAGACGTAAGTGTGCTTCCCACATCCTTTTTCAGGGAAGGACTAGCTGCTGGGTCACAGAATTGTGGTCAGCAGTTGGCCATCAGCTCCTTCAAGGTCTGTCTCAGCGATAGAAAGTCAACTTGCCCGAGGGCTACCATTCTGGGGCAGTGCACTTCTAGAAATATAAAAGCCCAGCCATTTCAGCCCCATGAAGGACATTCTCCGGGCAATATTCACTCAGAGGCCCCCACCACATTGATTGAAGCTTTGCTGGGCCTGCAGTGCAGTTGAATTTCTGCCTCTGCCCAGTCCTGCTTCCATCTGGTTCCTCTCACAGGAAATGATTCCTAACAAACATCTTGCCCCCCAAAACACCACCTATTTCTGTAGAATGCAACCCATGACACAGACATTTCCATTTTTGCCAGTATGATGGAAGTGAAGTGGTCTTCCTCATGTTATTTATTTGTTCATTTATTTAGAGATGGAGTCTCGCTCTGCTTCCCAGGCTGGAGTGCAGTGGTGCTATCTTGGCTCACTGCAACCTTCACCTCCCAGGTTCAAGCGATTCTCCCACCTCAGCCTCCTAAGTACCTGGACTTACAGGTGTGCACCACTACACCCAGCTAATTTTTGCATTTTTAGTAGAGATGGGGTTTCACCATGTTGGACAAGTTGGTCTGGAACTCCTGACCTAAAGTGATCCACCCACCTCAGCCTCCCAAAGTGCTGGGATTACAGGTGTGCACCATTGCACCTGGCCCGTGTCCTTTATATTAGCATTTCTCTAGTGTACTGGATTTAATAGTGTCCCCGAAAATTCACATTCACTCAGAACCCCAGAATGTGACCTGCATTGGAAATAAGGTTTCCAGATGTGGTTTTCAGATGTAGTCATCCTGGGTTAGTGTAGGTCCTAAGGCTGAGGAGCAGTGTTCTTACAGGAAGAATGTCATGTGACAATGGAGACCATGTGACAATGGAGGTA